ACAAAGGATTGAGTACCTCTAGGCAAACTGGTGCTCACAGGGACACTGAGCTCACATATTGACTATATTAAGAATTACAGGAGGTGCGTGTTTCAGCACCACATGTTCTAAAACTGCAACAGCACAGAGGTCAGTCTGGCCTTTGTGCACAGATGATACAGGAATTTTGAAGTGCTCCATATCTTATATCAGACCCTATAAAGGATGATACAAAAACCAGCTGTGGGATTTGGAGAGGTTGCCCCAAGGCCCATGCGTAGAAAGACAGAAATAAGGAAGGCTAGAAGAGGTCAGCTATGCACCCAGGTCTTTAAGGAATTGGCTGAGTAACTGGGAAAGGGGGAGCAATCCAGATGGATATAATGAACCTCAAAAAAACGGGAAGGGTAACAAATAGCACAGAGAACACGAACACCTCATATATCCTCAAACACCTGATCCTTGGGGCTATAGGTGAGAAACAAGAGGGAACACTTGGGAAGTTTTCGAGTAAAGGACACCCCTAGGGAAACATCAACATTAGGCACAGGGAATGGCTACAGAGGCTGAGGCACTGGAGGGGGCTATGGACATGGAGCACTCATCCCAGAGGAAATAGTACAGGTACTGCAGATGCTAGGAAACAAAAAACAGGGCGCCTGGCAGCACAGCATTACTAACACAAAGAGAGGACAAAGAGAGTCGGAGTCTCTTTCCTGCTGCTGTGACAGAACAACTGTGTTTAGTACCTTAAACGGCAAAGACATTCATTTGGCAAATAATTCTGGTGGCTAGAGATCCAAACAGCAAGGCACCAACCTGGCAAGACCCCCTGACTGTGTCGTAGTAAGAGAGAAGTGGATGGGGAAGAGGCATATAAAAAAGAAAGAAACAAGGGTTTTCATGACAGCCCACTCTCACAACAACCAACCAAGTCCCAAAGAATAAAAACTCCCTTTTTCAAGAAATATAATATCCAGGGTTGGAGACAGGGCTTAGTAGTTAAAAGCAAGCATCTCAGCACACACATAAAAACCCAAACCTGGTCTTGCACATGCGTGAATCCCAGGGTGGGGTGGGAAGGCTTACGGGTTCTAAACCTGATTGGAAACCAAAAGCTCCTGGTTCAGCAAGAGACCCCGCCTCAAAGGAAAAGGGTATGAGTAAGGACATTTACAACATCCTTTTCTGGTCTTCACAGGCGTGTGTGTGCGCACAAACACACCACCAACACTCACAGACAAGCAAATATTCACACACATATACACCAAGAAGAAAAAAGAAAAGAAATGCATTAAGCCTTTTTAAAGGCCTCTACAGCTCTCAAAGGTATGATTTCCCACAGTGACACATCAAGAACCAAGCCTTGCCATCCTGGGAGGGGATAAACCATACTCAGCAACAGCACAGGGAGAGTTGGCTATGATAGCCAGTCAGTCTTCCATTGACTGCTGCTAGCATTGGTATCAAAGGAGGCTGGCGGCCTGATGATGACGTGGGTGAAAGTGGCAATAACATCCAACCTGAAACACCTGCTATGGCTGAAAACACTCCATACTCATCCTCGGCACAACCTCAGACACAGACAACTTCACCACTGTTCCAGGACTCTGCACCAAAGGTGGGAGCGAACCAAAACACAGTGACAGAACTGTAGGGGCCCTGGGAGGCGGGCTGACTATTTAAATGTTGTTTCAGGATTTGATGCTGTAACTCAGGGTGGCAGGAACCAGCTACAATGTGGTCAGCAGCTTCAACAAAAAAGAAAAAAGAAAAGAAAAACACAAAACAAACCCAAATCCAAACTATTACTAGTTTTTGACAACTTTACTTTGTACCAAATTATCAATTGGTACATTAGTATCAATTTTCTTTTTTTGCATCAACTTGCATCCATGATCTCACTTAAACCTCACATCTAAAAGATATGTTAACTTTATTATTACCATTTTTTTATTTATTTATTATCTATATAGTGTTTTATATGTATGTATGCTTGCAGGCCAGAAGAGGGCACCAGATCTCATTACAGATGGCTGTGAGCCACCATGTGGTTGCTGGGAATTGAACTCAGGACCTCTGGAAGAGCAGTCAGTGCTCTTAACCTCTGAGCCATCTCTCCAGCCCCTTATTACCATTTTTTTTTAAAAGCAAGGGATAGGGAAGAAGATTTAGGCAAAGAGAAGAATACTTTGTTCATATGTCCCAAAAGCAATCAAGTGATATCACAACTTTTGGCAAGACTGAACAGTTTTATGTGACATGAAGACGTTGATCTCACAGGCAAGATGGCTCAGCAAGAAAAGAAGCTTGCAACCAAATCTAATGACCCGAGTTCAAGTCCCAGGATCCACTGGATAAAAAGGAAAGAATTGACTCAGCTTACACCAGCAGTTCTCAACCTGTGAGCAGCAAACAACCCTTTCACAGGGCTTGTCTAAGACCATTGGAAACCACAGACAATTACATTATGATTCATAACAATAGTAAATTTACAGTTATGAAGTAGCAGTGAAAATAATTTTATGTTGTGGGGGTCACCACAACATGGGGAACTATATTAAAGGACCGCAGCTCTAGGAAGGTTGAGAACCACTGGTCTAAACTATCTGCTGTTATACACATATGCAAAGTGAAAAAATGCAATTTAAAAAATTTTCAAAGATGCTGATCACAGCATCACAGAAAGCAAAGACAATGAATCCTCATGTATATTTAAGAATTAATTTATGGGGGCTGAAGAAATGGCTCAGTGGTTAAGATCAAGTACTGAAGCCCAAGTACAACTCCCAGCACCCACACTGGGTGGTTTACAACTGCCTATAGCTCCAGCTCTAGGGGTCCTGACACCTTCTTCTGGCCTCTGCAGGCAACTCCTGCCTGCCAACAGTGTGCACTCACACAACTCAGATATGAATATGTTTTTAAAAATATACTGATTCTCACAGACAAGGACCCAGTGCAAAATACCTCTGAATGCATAACACAACCACCAGCAACACCCACCATGTGCCCACATGGCTCTAAACACTCTACTGATAGTAAGCATCATTGAATCTTCAAAAGCACTTAAGAAACCAGCATTGGCATCTCCACTGTCTTTTGCATTTTTGATTTTTACTCTGTGTGATATACATGTGTGTTTGCACATGCATGTGCAGGTGTGTACGGCTCTGCATGCACATACACATGTGTAGGGGTAACCCCAGCCAATCACCTTGCGTGTAGGGCAGGGTCGCCTGAGGAGATTTTTTACTAATAAATATTGCTGGTGTCCTCTCCCCCGCCCCTTCTGCTTTCCTGTTCTCCGCTGGAACCATGGGTTCTGTGAGTCTTTCCCTAATTAAAGCTGAATATATTCTTATAATTTCTGTCTGCCTTCATTTACGCTAATATACATATGCACAGCCCTTATGTTGGTGTTAGGTATCTTCCTCTATCACTTTCCACCTTATGTTTTGAGGCAGGTTTTCTCACTGAACCTGGAACTTTCCAACTTGGCTAGACTAGCTGGTCAGTAAGCTCCAGGGATCCCTTTGTCTCCACCTCCCCAGGCTGGGGTCACAGGCATGCCATGCCCAGTTTTTTAATGGGTGGTGGAGATGTGGACTCAGGTTCTCATGCCTGCACAGCAAGCGTTTCACCAATGAAGCTATCTTCCCAGCCCCACCAACCCTACTTCAGAGACAAGAAAACTAAAGCAAAAAGAAAAAAGGAAAAAAAAAAAAAAACCTTAGAGGGCTGATGAGATGGTCAGTGGATAAGAACACTTTTTGTTCCCAGCAACCCATTAAAAGGAGTATGACTGCACACACTAGTATTCCCAGAGCTGCAGGAAAGAGCGGATTGCTGACATTGCTAAAGTCTAGTTGAAAAGGTTAGTCTTGGGTTCAGTGAGAGATCCTGCTTCAAGAGAACAAGGCAGGGTGACAGAGCAGGACACCCAACGTCCCCCTCCAGCATCCACAGGTATATACATCCACACACATGTGTGTGCACATACACCACAAACACACACACACACACACACACTTTTTTTTTTAAGTTAGGAGCAAGTTTATACTTTGGCAGAGTCTGGCTCCAGAACTGGTCCTTTAAATCCCTAAGACTTCACTCAAAAGGTTGTATTCCCCACACTGTTAAAATACTCTCTGGCCCCCAGCCCACTCCTCTTATTCCATTGTCCTAATTCTAAAGCCCCCACTCCTCCCTTGTTCTAAACATTGTCCTACTCCCTTCTTTCCGTCTTTTCTTGCCAGTTTAAACATCCCTGTAAAAATTCCACACTCTAAAGATATTGCTGACTCTCTAAGAGCCCAAAACTAAAGGATGAGCTTACTCTTCCTCCCAGCTGAGCTGCGAGTCTAGTAGGTCCACGCCAAGTCTGCTTTGCTCCACCAGTATTCGCAATCACTGAAACCCTGCCAACTAGCACAATGTAATGTCTCAATAACTTTGTTTCGAGAAAAAAAAAATGAATGGATGGCATGCAAGCTTTGTGTTTTCTCTAGGTACACCTGCACTGGCAATGCCCCCACCACCATCTGCTACCACTCCACAAATACGGTGGTCTGTGTGTGGTACCGACTCTACAAACAAACACTGCGGGGGCCCAGGACCTACCACCTACCCCTCGGAGGACTGAGTTCCAAGAGCACAGGAATCATGCCCAATTTTTACAGGCTGTAACCTACAAAGCAAGAAAATTTGCACTTCCAACCCATCAAAGCTGTAGTTAATACTTGCAACATAGCCCGTCTTACCTGAAGGCCAAGATCAAGTAAGCTTGGTTCAGCTCCTTACTCCCAGTCGTGGTACCCCAGGTTCACACACACTCGGTCAGTAAGACTTAAATGAACCCCTCCCTGCTCCGTGCACTTCCCAGGCGTAAAGAAAGGTCCGCTCCAGGTGGGTGCGGCAGCTCCTCCCCCAGTGTCCAAACGTGGGCTTTGGACAGTGACCTGCCTGCCACCTAGGCCCGGGACCCCGGCGCCCATCTCGAGCCCCGCGCCCCCACGCACCTCTTGCAAAGAGAAGCATCTTCGCAGGTGCCGCGCACTCCCTCGTCATCCAAGTCAGAGTTCGAAGCGCAGGAAGAGAACGAGGACTCCCTCGAGCTGGTGGCCATGTTCGTGGGATGTTCTGGGGTGCCGCACCCACCAGGGACATGGAAACGGGGGCGACGAGCAGTGGGAGACGCGACAAAAAACACAGACAAGGACCAGAGCTGCAGGACTAGGGGCTCGCTAGGTGGGCGCAGCCCAGTGACGCCGCCCCCGCGGGCCGCCCTGCCACCTTCCTGCTGATTGGCGCCTGGGTCATGACGTTTATTAGACCAAGCTCCTCGTCCAGTCAGACCACGGAGCGGCCCATTGTAAGGCTCTTTAAGCTCCGCCCACAAACCCCGGAAGTTTCTTAAGGTAACCCCGAGAGGCTAGGAAAGCCGCGGTGCTTTCTGGGATATGTAGTCTTAGGTGCTCTGGGGTTTTCTTTTGCTTTATTGTTGGTCAGGAATTTTTATAAGTATGGTGAACTCAGGGCAGAAGTGCGGAGGATCCTTAGCCCTGGGACAAAGAGCAGAGAATCCATGGAGAAGAAACAAGTCTAAAGTATTACTTTCTGTCGCCTCTCAGTGTCATTCAACAATGTAACAAATTTTAGAGTCAACACTGTGGCAGGTCCCATGATTTGAAATATTAGGAAGTGGCTCAGAGCGTTTGCCTGGTTAGGGTTCTTGACAACCGAGAAGAAAAATTTGTAAAAAATGGAATGGAAAACTGCATAACCGTGACAGTAAACTAGGGCTTGTGTGGGGGCTGTGGCGAGATAAAAATTCCTTGACTTCTGTTTCAGAAACAGCAGATATTCCGTGATATATATATATATATATATATATATATATATATATACATATATATATGCATATATACATATATATGTGTGTGTGTGTGTATATATATATATATATATATATATATTTCGAGACAGGGTTTCTCCGTAGCTTTTGGTTCCTGTCCTGGAACTAGCTCTTGTAGACCAGGCTGGCCTCGAACTCAGAGATCCGCCTGCCTCTGCCTCCCAAGTGCTGGGATTAAAGGCGTGCGCCACCACCGCCCGGCCGTGAGAGATATTTTTACATGTTTATAAAGTTCATGCCAAGCAAAACTAATTTTAGATAATGTATATAATAAAAAATAGTACATGAGGAGTATATAGGAATCAAGGTTTAGATGGCATAAAATGGTGGGAAAAGGAGAGGTCTGTGAAGCTAGAGAGGGAGTTCAGTTTCGCCAATGTTTGGTAATTGTGCGCCTTCAAATGTGCATTGCCGGTATTTCATGGTGGATCACTCACTATAAAACACCTTCTAAATAAAACTGAAGGGTTTATTTTTGCCTGTTGTTTGGGAGTGAGTAAAAGATAAACTCTAGTTTTATGAAGTTTGAATCACGCCTATAAAAGGTGTGTGAAGATAGGGCAGTGATGAACACTTGCCTATCCTTCCCGAGGTTTTGGGTCTAAAACCAGAAACGCGCGCGCGCGCACACACGCACACATACACACACACGCGTGTACTCAGTCATCATGATCCACACCTCTAGTCCTAGCTTCTTGGGAAGCTTGGCCAAAAGGACCCCTTGAGCCTCGTGTTGGAGGTCAGCTTGGATAATATAGCAAGACTACATTTCAACTTTTAAAAAATTGTAGGTAGTTTCTCCTATAACCCAGCCTGGCTTTTAACTCACTGTGTAAACAAAAATGACCTTGAATTTCTAATCCCCCCCCCCCCCCCCCCCCCCCGTTTCTCCAGTACTGGGATTGTAGGTATGCAGCACCGCATACAATTTGTAAACTGTTGAGGCTCAAACCCAAGAGCCTTGTGCGTTCTAGACAAACATTGTACCAACTGAACTACACCCTGACTCAGTCTGTTAAAAAGAAAAATAATAAATCAATATGCGTGTTCATATCTTTGGTTTTACTTTCTATTTACTGGAGGCACAGGTAATCACTGATAACTTCCAGGGAAAATGCCAATAGGAACAACTGGAGTTCTGATATGTTGTAGGAGATAATCCTGAGGTGCCGTGATAAAGTACCCTGACGAAAGTGACTTAAAGGACAAACACTTAATATTGTCTTAGAGTTTGTTTCAGTCACTGTTCTACTGCTGCGAAGGGAGACCATAACCAAGGCAGCTTATAAAAGAGAGCATTTAATTAGGGGCTTGCTCATATTTTTAAATTCATGGTGGTGAGCATCAAGGTGGTGAGCAAGTGAGAATGTAGGCAGGCATGTGCTGCGGCAGTAGGAGAGCTTACATCTCACCTGAAAGGTGGAGGCAGAGAGAGAGAGAGAGAGAGAGAGAGAGAGAGAGAGAGAGAGAGAGACTCTATGAAGAGGAGGGAGAGGGAGGGAAGGACAGAGGGAAAGCAAGTGAGTGACTGAGAGAGACTGGGCCTGGGCCTGCTATGGGCCTTTGAAACCTCAAAGCCTACCCCCAGTAACACATGTCCTCCAACAAGGTCTCACTTCCTAATTCTTTCTAAAACAGTTCCACCAATTAGGGACCAAGCATTCAAATATATGAGCCTATGGGGGTCATTCTTATTCAGACTATCACACAGTTCCAGAGGGATCAATGGCAGGGAAGACATGGGAGTGGGCAGGGGAGGCATGTTGGCCGGACCAGGAGGCTTACTGGTCACACGGAATCCACAGTCAGGAAGCAGAGAGCAGTGGATGCCTGCTGGGGCTCAGCTCCCTTTCTCTATTTACATAACCCAAGATCCAGCCAGAGAATAGTGCTGCCCATGGTGTGTAGGTCTTTCTCACTTAAATAATAACAAGAGAATCATCTACAAACATTCTCAGAAGCCTGTGTCCCAAGAAATTCTAGATTCTGTCAAGTTGACATTTAACACTAACCACCACAGGGAACAAACATGCCTTTTCCTGAAGTGGTTCCCTGCAAAGCACATCACAGGCTTAGTGTCCCATCTTGGCAGTGTATATCACCTCTGGTGTTGGTAGGTAATAAATACATCGACAGCAAGTTTTCTGGGATAGCGGTCCCATATGGTCTAGAATTGAAGGACCTCTTTGAATGGCCCTTCAGTCACAATTTGCTTTCACCTTGAAAGGGGCAGGATACCCCCAGGGTACCTGAACAACCCTGCCACTAGACATAATCTTTGTTGGGATGACCCTAACACCTCTGCCTTTCTCCAAGAGTACAGTACTAATGTGGTATTCCCCTCTGTGTGTTGTGAATACCACTGGTTAATAAAGAAGCTGTTTTGGGCCTGTGATAGAGTAGAGCAGAGGTAGGCAGGGAAAACTAAACTGAATGCTGGGAGAAAGAAGGGCAGAGTCAGAGAGAAGCCATGGAGCCACTGCCAGAGACAGACATGCTGGAACCTTGCCGGTAGGCCACGAGCCTCGTGGTAAAATATAAAATAATGAAAATGGGTTAAATTAAGATGTAAAAGCTAGCCAATAAGAAGTTAGAGCTAATAGGCCAAGAAGTGATTTAATTAATACAGTGTGTGTGTGGTTATTTCGGGAGTCTGGGTGGATGGGAAACAAACAAGCCTTCTCCTACAACACAGGACGACATTGCATTGTGACAACCTCCAGAGAAACACTTTAATAAGTGTCAATAATAATAATAACTAATCACTATTTTCTAGTCCTTTTTGGATTATTATGAGAATATATTTTGTTTACAAATTGAACTCAAGCACAGCTGTGCTGTTACTAACAACCTAGCCTGCCGTGGATAGGCTCCTCCAACAAAAAGCTCTAGAATTTCTTTCTCTAAAATGAAACCAACAGGCGCTCCTGCTGTACTATCAGAAACTCCTTCAGTGAGCTTAGTGATATCCACCCATGTTTCCTGGGGGCTCTGGGTGACTCAGCGTGATTATAAATTGTCTATGGACTTCTAATGCAAATCACTTTCTTGGCCGTGTACTACTGCCAATAGAGTGGCACACATTCTGGCCACACTCTGGGCTTTTCTGGCAGTGGAGGCTCACACACACCCTGATTTTGTGACCCTAAACAAGACACACATTAGCCCTTGGGCCATGGAAGCATCAGCACAGCTAAGCATGAAGAAGACGTCCTTCCTACAGATTGGAGCCAAAATGGAATTTTCTAGCATATTTGACCTGATGTTAGGGGTAGCCTTCCTGTTTGCAGCATCTTGTTAGATGAGGTGGCACTGGAGAATCACCCCTCCCATAGACCCCTTTCTAACCTGGGGATCGACTGAGTGAACTCCCATTAGAGTGTCTGTGCAGCCAGGCAATAATGGCTTTAATCCCAGCACTCGGGAGACAGAGGCAGGTGGCTCTCTGAGTTTGAGGCCAGCCTGACCTATTGAGTGAGTTCCAGGACAGCCAGGCCTCACAGAGAAACCTTGTCTTAAAAATCCAAAAGAGAAAGAAAATGAGTGTTTGTGCTTTATGAACATTGCTGTCACCATCCACCATCATAGTTGATGAAGCTCATCGCAGTGTTGTTTCCCCCATAGCTAGCATATCCTCAATAAAAATGAGACAGTGAGCTGGGTGGTGGTGGCGCACGCCTTTAATCCCAGCACTCGGGAGGCAGGCGGATCTCTGTGAGTTCGAGGCCAGCCTGGTCTACAAGAGCTAGTTCCAGGACAGTAACCAAAACGCTACGGAGAAACCCTGTCTCGAAAAATTAAAAAAAAAAATTTAAAAAAATGAGACAGTGAAAGTATAAAATTTAGCCAGGCGGTGGGTTCGAGACCAGCCTGGTCTATAAAGCAAGTTCCAGGACAGAGAAACCGTGTCTCAAACCCCTTCCCCAGAAAAAGTGCAAAATTTAATGTGAAGATCCACAGATTTGTTTTGAATGACAATTCTAACTGTATAAAAGTTCATTGAGTTGTAAAAATTGGGTCTGGTTAATCATGGAGGTGATGTTTTTATTTTCAATGTTTTAATAATAAGGCTTATAAAATTAAAAACAATACACAACGGTGGGCACAATCGCCCAACTCCAGGTAGTCATCTGTGTGCTGAGTGCTGTCTCAGTTCATTCAGTCTGCTCTCACAAGCGACCATAAATTTGGTGGTTCGCAGACGACAAGGTTGTTTCTTACGGTCTTAGAGGCTGGGAAGCTAATGACCATATTTGGTGTCTGGTGAGCATCTTTCCAGTTCACAGATCATGCCTTCTCGTTGTCTTCTCACTTGGAGAAAGCATCAGGGGTCTCTCGAGCTTTTTTTTTTTTTTTTACAAGAGCC